GTCCAGACGCTCCAGCGACAACTGAGTTTACTGCCTCACTTAAACAGTGGACTCCTCCGCACTAGCTGGCCTGGGGTCACCCCACACCAAGCCCACCAACCTTATAGTGGCTGGCCCGGGGCCACTCCGTACCAGCATCACCAATTACCTGCTAATTAACCATAATGCCAGGCATACGCAGTCTGAATAACCGCCTGTCCATTCTCTCTGCTAATGTGAGGGGCTCAAACAAATCTTGGTGACCTAACTCACAGCTTTGTTCTACCGCTGAGGCCTGACATAATTGCAACGGTGGAGACCTTTCTTAATCACACGGTTCCAGACAATTTTTGTAGAATCGGTGGCTACACGAAGTGGCACAGAAAGGACAGGACACAAGGCACCTTCGGGGGCATAGCTGTATGCTTTAAAAGTGGTCTGCACGTCCAGCCACTACAAGTGGAAATGCCTGAGCACCTGGAGCTCTCGTTTTTCAAGTTCTGGAAAAACACGCAAGAAACCTCTCTCCTGTGTGTTTGCTACAGACCCCAGTGGCAAGGACCTGAGCCTCTGTTATTCCTCCAGGATCACCTCGATTGCTTGCTTCATCAGCACCACAGTGAAAACATCATAATCGTTGGTGACCTGAACCAGTACCTGGTGGCTAGATCGTTCGATGATCTGCTGGACACCTTTGGTCTGGCCAACCATGTGGATTTTCCGACACACATATCAGGCTCATCACTTGATCCCGTCATCACTGACCTCCCTGACGGCGCGGTAACGTGTCAGTCTGTGGGAACCGTTGGCTCTTCTGACCACTTTGCCATCCTTACCAGGCTTAACATCAGACCTATGCGGGAGGAAGCGTTTACACGCACAGTATGGCACTGGGGCAGAAGTAACTGGCAAGGCCTTCGTGATGCCTTAGATAAAACAGAATGGAATAGCATCCTGGATGGAGATGTAGACGACCAAACTCTAGCCTCACACGTCATCTAGTCACTCTCCAATCGGTCTTCGTACCCCACGAAGACTATACAACCAGGCCAATGGATCAACCTTGGTTTGGTCCTCACTGCAAAGCAGCTGCAGACAACAAAGCCAGGGCTTGGGTCAGCTACAAACGTAGCCCCACGAGCCGAAACAAGCAGCTCACACTGCTGCCTGCTCAAGGATGAAGAGGGCGCAGAAGTGGGCCATTGCACGCTGGAAGGAGGACCTGCGAACCAAGCTTATTGGTCAGTCAGTGGGAGGTAAATCCTGGTGGAGTTGCATTAAGCAACACCAGGGTTATGCGCCTGACGATGGTATCCCTCCTCTCGATAAGCCAGATGGATCTGTGGCTGCATCAAGCCAGGAGAAGGCAGAACTCGCCAGCTACTTTTCGGGAAAAATGACTGTCCCTGAACCCGCCGTGCCGCCCCCTAGATTGTCACCACAGACTCGGTCACGGCTTTATAATGTGTCAATCTCGGTGCAAGAAGTGAAAAAAGAACTGAAAAGCCTGGATGTGACGAAAGCTGTGGGGCCAGACAGAATTAGCCCTC